AATCAATTATAGATTTGAATATTGACACTGCTATATTTGTGATATAATTAATTATAGATTTGAATATTGACACTACTATATTTGTGATATAATCAATTATAGATTTGAATATTGACACTGCTATATTTGTGATATAATGAATTATAGATTTGAATATTGACACTACTATATTTGTGATATAATCAATTATAGATTTGAATATTGACACTGCTATATTTGTGATATAATGAATTATAGATTTGAATATTGACTGACGCTGCTATATTTGTGATATAATTAATTATAGATTTGAATACTGACACTGCTATATTTGTGATATAATCAATTATAGATACCATCAGTTTTACATATTTACACGTTAAGGAAAACGTTTAATGAAATTACTTCTTTTACAGTTTAATAACTAGAGGGCAAAATTAAAAGTTTATAACTCTTAAAAAATGAAAATAAACCCTTCTTATAGATAATGAAAGATTGAAAAATACTAGGTCAAAGTTCAAGTAGTCCTAGTGTATATAAAAAGTAATTTTTGTTTGGAAATATTGTATTGTTTTTAGTTAATGTTTATTATTGAATAAATATATATTTAAATGTAATTGTGAAGTATAAAGTTCACCATAGCTTGTATGAACATTTTTTAATTGAGGCAAAACGATAGTACGCTATGCCGCCATTATAGGATGAGACACGTCATCATCAGTCGAATCCGCCTCATGGGGCGTTTTCTGGCTGCATTATGCATAACTATTCACCCCTGGTGACACACCATGGAAATATCAACTCTCCGGCGGCAGTCTCTGTAAATATCAACACAGCACTCGTGAGTTCCGGCTGTTAAAGAATATTCTCATTTTGATCTCTTCTCTCCGACGCCCCCATCTCAGTGAGCCTACCCGTTTAGACGTGCACAGTCCCCTTAACTAGTAATTTTCACAATTACTTTATTAAACTTGCTTGAACTTCAATCTTTGCTGCTAAACGCATCCTTTTAGTTATATATTAGCTTCATCTCTCATGAACCCGATACAATCTTTATTTTTCTCACAATCCAACTTATTAAGTAGGAATATACTGAAATATTAGAAAGAAAGAAATACACAGATGTGAGGCCGAACTCCCAGTCTAAGTTATGGATTTTTAGTCATGACATATATTACAAATATCATGTGTGACATAAAAACGACTTCTTTAGAATCATTTTATGTAAGTAGCAAAAGTTTATTGGAAACCTTTTTCAGCTATTAATTTACATGAATTGGTGACTGAGTATAAATGTAATATAAAAGTTTTAAGCATATAAAAATCAAAACATTTCAATGAATCCATACAATCTTTCTTTAAATCCCGTGCAAAATAACAAACAAACTTGTAAGACCTAAACGGTTTCAGATTTTCTTCAGGTCTGTTTCTTATGACTTAGTACCATCTTGGTTCACTTGTTCATTTAGGATATTTACAAATGGGACAAAAGGTGAAATCAAAAATTTTGGCTTCTCCATATTCCGGCACGTGTCTGGTGACGTGTCTTTACAGATGAGATCAACCATCTTCTGGGTGTACACCTTAGCTTTACGTCTAATAAAATTGGCTGCTTTATCGCCACAAGAGGTCTCTGTGAGATTAAGGGAACAACGGCCAAATTCTAACCATGAGCTGAAAAAATAAGGATGTTACAGATGACACCATTATAAAATATTTTGTTAGAATAATATACTGTTTCTCTTACTTCAGTCTTACATATATGTTTTAATATATTTACAAGGGTATTTAATTTGGCTTTGAGCCAAACGTAAAAAGTATCGAAGTTGTATTTATTATTATTGAAAATATCACTTTATAGCAATTATCACTCCTAATATAACTTACAGAGGGAGAAACCGATGGAGGACACGTGCCCCCAACTTATGACAAGATAGTGAAGTGCTCTTTTGAATTTTGTTTGATTGTTATTAAGCACACCGCTACATAATGGGCTATATATGCTTTGCCCTATCACATGTATCAAAACAAGATTTTAGCGGCTTTATTTGTTGCTATTTTAAATATGATTAACGTAAGTTAGCTCCTAGAGTGGCTTCGTTTATTGCTACTAATCCGTTGTTTAACAACAACCAAATCAAACCGCTAGTAGACGAATATTCCTCTCGAGTTGATTGAAATATCAGAGTTGCTAACCTCGAAGACTGCTTGAGCTGCTAATCTATCTACTGCTACTAGTGACACCTGATGGAAAAAATCTAATAACTGATTATACTGAAATTTACAAAAAACGTTCACGAAGGTGTGAAAAGTCCACTATAACAAATATGTTTGTAATAGAATGTTAAATCTCACAAGCTTCATTGTTTTTAATCTCTCATGAGGTAAAATATTACAAATGTGGAGGTGAATTGAGGTAATTTTTAGTCTATTTTACAGATAGTTCCTACATCTTGTCCCTGAATATGTTCGCCCTTTCAGCCGGAGGAGGAGGGGGGGGGGGGGCGGTTATAGCACGAAGGTTCATTCCAGTTTTCGTTCATAAAAAGAGTATCTCAAATGTTGGCGGTGGGTGGTGTCGACTAGCTGCCTTCCCTCTAGTCTTACACTGCTAAATTAGGGACGGCTAGCGCAGATAGCCCTCGTGTAGCTTTGCGCGAAATTCAAAACAAATCGTCTAGTCTATCAGTATCGAAACTCGATTTTTAGCGTTTTAGCCTCACTTACCCCTGAGTCAGCGGAGGGCATTATCTAATAAAGGTACGACTTATTATCTAATAAAATAAGGGTACGACTAATAGAGAAAATATAATTATTTTATTGGTCAGGAATTTGCATCATGTGAGTAAGACAAGTTAATATTATGGCTTTATTTTCTTTTATGTTGTAAAGCTGCAGTCAGCAGAAAATTGCCATACGTATTAGTTTTGTGTGATGTTTTTAGCAAGTCAGTCATTAGTTACCATCTGGACTACTAGATGGCTTCTGTCGAATAATTTTCACAATCTGATGAAAATAGCCTATTTATATAAAACCTTTTATAATTACCTCTCCAGCGGTGCCGCGTCATCCTGCTATAAAAGACATAAGTAATAGAAATAATTGGTTTGAATAAGACAAAGATTTTCGATACGATGTAATACTACAAGAACTCACCAACAAGCTGTGTTCACAGATTGTTCTTTAGGAACGCCTCCATTTTGAACGTCATACATTCTTGTAATCAAACGAGTTAAACAGTGATAACGTTTGACGAAAATCTCTCGAAGGCATGGTCCGTGCTCCAAAAAGTCTAAACAGAAAAAGAATCATCCTATTAAAGTTTGGGTAAATATAGATCTGATAGGAAATTTTAAAAAATATAACAAAACGTAGTATCTTCATAAATATAATCCAAATGACTTTCCTGGCGATAGCTTTAGAAGAAATTCAGCCTAATGAATTGCACATTACACTTTTAGAATAAATTAACTTATTAAGCTAGTTATTCATTAAGCCTGATGAACTGTATGTTCCATGTTTAGAACAAATTCAGCTAGTTGTTCATTAAGCCTAACGAACTGTATGTTTCACGTTTAGAACAAATTCAGCTAATTGTTCATTAAGCCTGACGAGTAATATGTTACACGTTTAGAACAAATTCAGTTAGTTGTTCATTATGCCTGACGAGCTATACGTTTACACGTTTAGAACAAATTCATTTATTTGTTTATTAAGCCTAATGACGAATCCCGAAGTGTGTCTAAAGCTAGCTCCAATAAAGAAATTTCAGTTGTATACATGAACATGCTGAAAATCCGCTTATTTGTTTTTAAAGAAATTCAGATTATATATAGTACAGAATATTTTCCGCAGGTATCAGTTTTTTTTTTTCTTGTTTTGTGTTTTAAGTTATGGGCTAGGATAACATAAGCAGAATTTATTTTGCTTACTTATTACGCTGGCGAAAAAAGAAAAAAAGTAGAATATAGAAAAAACCTTCCCCCACAGTCCGAATTTGTTTGTATTATATTTTATAGAAGCATGAAGAAATATCAACATTAACG